ACAGTAGTGATGTCTTTTAAATTCATGATTCTGGAATTTCTTATTATCTTGTAAATAGTTTCTTGCCACCTTCACTTTCTTCTATTACAATAAGTTCTACCATAAGAAGAAACTTCTGGTCTCGCAATTTGCATTACCTCTCTTGCCAGCCATTGATTTCCAAGAGTGAGCCAAGGGCCAGTGTTTTCCTTTGCTGTCTACTTACCGTTCTTGTGGCCCTCAACCATGGACTGGTTTGTTCTACTTTCTGACTCCTTCAGGAACTTCATTGTTCTCTAGACAGTCAGTCACATTATCATTTGTATTGAGGTCCAAATGTTGAGCTCCAGCATCCTGACCCTGCAAGCTGTGGTTGGCTATTGTCTCCCAATGACAGCAACTCAAGACAGTCTTATCTCTTACTGTTCATGGAAGAGGCTGGAACCAGCAGCAGTAGCCCAGCCCTGAGAACGAATTCAAAATGAAGGGTCTTGGGTCCTTCCTTGTACTTCCTGCACTCACTCCTGCATTTGTGCAAGATAGTACCAGGACACCTCGTGCTTTGAGAAGCACTGTTCTCCTAGCCCGAAAGCATTTGGGAAAGAGGAAGTGAGTTATTGGCAGTGATTCTGGTGCGTAGCACCAGGCTTGTCTCTGTTGTAAACAAAAGGAGGATTCAGATGGGAGTTGAACTTCTCTCTGAAGGCCCACCTTAACTGTACGTAATAGCGCACTAAGACGAGTGGAGGAGAGGGTGTGCTCCTGGCAAGGGTTTTACACCAGTCTCCTTCACTGAAGCAACCTTACTGGGTCTTCCATCATTAGATTATCTTTCCTTGACCATGAACTACGGAAGGAAAAACTTTGTTTCTGAACTCCATGCCAGGTGCATTTACCTCCTTAAGCTTTTGCAGTGACACATGTAGGCCTTTTTGCATGCTAGATTTGATGTTTCTTGAAATCTGTAACATTCTGTTCTATACAAAGTATGTACCCAACAGATTGATTAAAAAAAAAAAAAAGAGCAGAGAAACCTTGCTTTGCAACACATAGCTCATGTTGCTTCCTGTTGCGTCAAATCTCAAGTTATTCATCAGAACACGCCTAACATCGTAACATCTAGAATCCTTTTATCAGATATTTATTTACCTAGTTACACCCAAACCATAACCATTTGGTTTCATTTTTAGTCTTGAATTATGCTTCTACTATCCTACCACTACACAAAGCTGAACTGTTTTCTGTCACTTGCAAGAATGCTTGGACCCAACATGATAATTCAATTGGTTAATTCTCCCCCTGTGAGTGCTGGTACCCCGATTAGGTGCCGATTCATGTCCTGGCTGCTCCACTTTCCATCCAGCTCCCCGCTTAAGGTCTAGGAAAGCAGTAGAGGACAGCCCAAAGCCTTGGGATCCTGCACTCGTGTGGGAGTGCAGGAAGGAGCTCCTGGCTCCTGGCCTCGGATCAGCTCTGTTCCAGCCATTGTGGCCATTTGGGGAGTGAACCAGCAGATCGAAGATCTTTGTTTCTCCTTATCTCTGTAAATCTTCTTTTCCAGTAAAAATAAATAAATACTTTTTAATGAACCTCTTAATTGTTTTTTCCTCAGCGATATCATTTGTCACTTCTCTTGTTGACCTGCAGGCATCAGCATCAGTTCATGTGTTCTCCAAGTCATCACTTTGGATAGATGTTCCATGCTACAAAGCCTTCCGTGGATCATCCGTACAAATCCTAAGCAATCTGACATGTTTCTACATGAGGTCAGAAATGGCTTCAGTAGCTCTGTACGCCAATGAGACACAAAACTGATTTTAACAGGAGGAGCCTCTTCCCCATATGCTTCTGTAGGTGAGCCTCACATCCTGGGTGGCCACTTGACCTAGACTTGGTCATTTATGCTTCTGCCTTCCCATCACCTAGCTTGTGATAGTTCTCTATCCCAACCTCTGCCCCCATACATTTTCTCATTATCTACCAGACTCCTACCATTGCTGCAGTTCCATCCTCTGAAATACCACCTGCTCTAAGTGTCTCTTCTTCTGTGGGTTCTTTCTTTTGCATCTCTTCTGATTTTACTCCTTTTGCTCCTGGTATATCTACAGGACTTGTGTCTCAATCATATGGTCCATTCACCATGCTACCTATAGTTATACTTGTAGGTCAACTCCTTTTATTAAAATGAAAACTCTTAGAAGAAGAAAATCCTGATTCTATACTAGTACTTAGCCATGACTTCACACTGCACATGTTGGTTTATGTGTTGGACATTTTGCTGTTGTGTATTCTTTGCTTTTCAAGGCAAGATGGACTCTGGATCTAAGACAAGGTGTGGAGATTTTTCTTCTACACCCACGTGCCTCCTCACCTCCAAGTGTGTCGGTGGCTTTGTTGTCTGTAGTCACCTTTGTCTCACTTAGAAATAGGCATGGGGAAATCTTGAACGATCTGTTGTGTGTAAGTTGCTCTTTACAGTGAGATTAGCTCTGTCTGCGGTCTTTAGTTTCTGTGAATTTAGGGGTGCTGCAATGTGTGGGTTTTAAGGACTGCTGTTTTTCCATCCATCACAGGCTGCTTTTGATTCATTTATCCTTTGTGTGAATTTTGGGTAGAGGATTCCATTCACTGTGACTCTAGAAACTAGAAAACGTTATTTACTCAGGACTGCTGTTTGCGCACTACCTTTCATTTTAGTGAATCAGGAGTTATCTGCCACCGTTGGGATTGTTGAAGAAGGGGTAGCTTAAGGAGTGTTGGTGTAATGGAGAGGGGCTGAAGACAATGATCTACTTCACCAAGGGCAAATATTTCCTATTGCAAAGGGGTAAGACTGCACTTTGCAGTGAACTGTGTGGCAGTAAGAGGTGCTTAGATGGCGTTAGACACAGAGGTAAGATGCCAGTGGGAACTCAACACACAGTGCATGTTCAAGGCCCCGTGTGGTTCCAGATTCCAGTTTCTTGATAAAGCTCACTCTTGGAGGCAGCAAGGAGGCTCAAGTAGTTCCATTCCTACCATCCACATGAGAGTTCTGAAATGAGTTCCAGGCTCCTGACTGGCCTGGCCTGACCCTGGTATTTGTAGGTATTTGTGGAGTGAACCAGGAAATGAAAGATGTCTGCTTCTCTGCTTTTCAAATGAAATGAAACATGTAAAAACTAAAATGACGAGTGCTAAGGAGACTTCAATATGAATTCTTTGCAACATGGGAATTTAATAAACATGAGTCCACAAGGAAGATCTTAAAGCATTTCAGTCCATGGTCTCCATAAGCTCCCTGCAGACCTTCCTCGAATGAGCCTGCAGACCAGGCATTAGGAAGTGTGTGCTTCGTGTCCAACTATACTTCCAGATCCTTCTGCTTGCCTACTCATCAGATCATCATGCAAAAAGACACTCCTTTATGGGGATTCTGGAGCCACCAGCAAGTTTACAGATGGATGAGCTGTGCCTGTTACACTATATCTATGGGAGAACATGATGTAAGGATTTGGGTACTAGGTTTTATTCTTCTGTGACACTGTCCAGGTTGACATGATGTGCCATTGATTAGCTTTCAAAGCTACTGAAAACATTTATCTTCTGAGAGTCTAATGATGATGTAGAGGAGAATATTTGTAGCAGTTATGCAATCACATTTATTTGGCACTTTATAATGCATTTTCACAATCTCTGTGTTGCCCATTATCAGTTTATTAATGAGATGCCTGTGATATTTCAGGGCACAGGGGGCAAACATTTCTTAATCGATGACTTCCTTCTTGAATAACTGTTGCAGTGGCAATTCACTCTAACCTTCTATAAGCCAAGCTCATTGGGTTTTCCACTCCCAAGATGTAAATTGTTTTATATGAAAGCAAAGTAAGTATTGAATATCTATTTGAGTTCTGCTAGATAGAACAATTTTGTTCTTCTTGGTAACTTTCTTCAGACATTCATCTTTCTGAAGTTCTGGGAAAGGAAGTGAAAAACAGCACTTGACCTCTGCTACAACGTACTGTTTTGATCATGATCAGTTCTTTAATAAAATGTCTTCAAGAAAGGAGGAGGACGCCTGTGAGAAGCTTGAGAAATGTTGATGGGTCTACATTACTTCTCTTTAATCCGCTTCCATGTTACCCAGTGTGACCGGGATGGCTGATTTGATTCTTGCACTCTGTAACTTGAAGTGCCTTGAAGTTACAAGAAAATGAGGGAATCAGAGTGACAGCTGATAATGACATTGGAGAAAAGCATCATTTAAACTTTTAAACCCCAGTTTGCTAAGGCCCAGTGTGCACGTCACCAGTGAGGACCAGAGATGCAGGCCAAGATGTTGATTTTCTTGGACTTTTCTGCTTGTATCCTTTGCCTTGTATCTTTTGTTGTTGGAGTAAATGTTAAACTAAATATTAAAAGTGACGTAAGAGTCACACATTTGTTATTTGCCTTCTTCTCCATGCAGATACAAATAAGCAAACAATCTAGTGCCAGGAAACCACAAAAGAAAAGTGATTTGGATAATCTAGCTGCCACAGAGATTCACGGGAGGCAGAGAAGGGGAAAAAACAAATTCTAGTCTGGTAGCATTGAAGAGAATGCATTAACCCTCTCTGACGTCGTGACACTTAACTGCTACTACATCAACAGAGCAGTTCATGGGGCCAATATTATGGCACAGCCTACGCGGTGCTGGTCTACAATGTTGGCATTCAATATGGATGTCAGTTCAACTCCTGCATGCTCCACTTCCAATGTGCATGCCTGGTAATGGAATTCCACACGCCTGTGTTTGTCTTGACCCAGCTGTAGCTTCTTTGGCTAATGGGGGTAGAGTCGTGAATTGGCAGACGGAAAATGTTTTTCTTTCTTTGTCTTTCTGTAACTCTGCCTTTCAAATACATAAAATAAGCTTTTATTTACTTATTTTTTTTTAACAAAAAACAGGGCTTTATTATTGGCAATACAACTTCACTTACATGTCATATTTAATCTTGAAAATAATCCCCTAAGATGGGTGTAATTATTCCATTTTACAGATGTGGAATTGGAGGCCCAGAAAGATGAAGCCACCTACCCAAGCTGTAATGGGACCATTCATCCACTGAGACATTGTAAAGTACCATGAGTTTGTCTTTTCATCATTTTGCCAATTTCAATCATTGTGCTGTCTTACTGCTTCATTTATAAGGAAAACTGTGTAAAGTGTGTGGTTCTTCATGCTTCCAGAACTACAGTGTGGAGCAGGCAATGGAAGGCTTGACATTACAAGTTGAGTCCTTGCTTGAAGAATTGCAAGCTCTGTATAGCTAAGACGGGAGAAGTTCCTCCTTCCAGCCACACTTCTTTGACAGTTTTGTCCACCCGTCTCACTGGAGTTCAGACTATGTAATGAGTCATTTTCCTTTTCCCCTTTTCTTGTGGGGGTAGCTTTGCTTGAGACACCGGGTAGTCTGCCTTTTCGAGTGTTCTGTCACTTTTGCCAGTAGACTACAGTTGCCATTTAGAAAGGGTTGCGCTGCTCATTCTGGGTCTGCGGTTTTGCCGTTCCCTCTTCAAGATGGCCAACTTGATATGGGTATTTTTCCACAGATGCAACCCTTATTCACCACATAGATGGAAGTCTGGTGTTACATTTTGCTTCTTTTCCTAGAAGGAAAAAAAAACAAGCAAAAACAAACAATAACACCCTCTATGACTGGCAGAACACAAGCAGCCCAGATACTAATTTTTAGTCAAATTGTTTTATATAAAAGTTGCCCATTGAAGAGTAGCAGAGAGAGCTATGTGGCGGTGATGCTTGCCAAGGACCCTGTGAAGGAATCGCCTTTAGTGGTCTGTCCTACCCTGTTAAATTATGCTTCTGCTTTCCTAAATTCTTCTCCCATTCTCAGAAGAGAAGCTCATTGGATCTGATTTGGTGAAGGGTGTGGTAAGCGAGCAGTGCACTGTAACACAGACACCTCTCCCTGCTCCTGCACACTTTAGGTGATCATTTCCAGGGACTTTGTTAGGGCTGGGGCTTGGTGTCATCTTTTCTCCTTGGAGGGGATTTTCCATCCAAGATGAGCCTCATGAAACAGTGACTGGTGTCATGAATTTCCGTGATAGGTGGAGGGATTTTCGTCAAACTGGGAGAGATTTTGATGTGAGCTTTTTGTGTGCTTTTTTCTTTATAATATCCAGCTATTATTATTATTATTATTATTATTATTATTATTAGTCTGGAGGCTGGCATGGTTTTATATCAGGCTAATTCTTCTCCTGTGGCTGCAACTTCCCATGCGAATGGTAGTTTATGTCCCATATGCTGCACGTCCGATCCAGCTCTATGATGATGGCCTGGGAAGCAGTGGATGGCGGCTCAAAATTTTGGAACCCTGCACCTGTGTGGCAGGCCCAGAAGAAGCTCCTGGCCCCTAACCAGCCCAGCTCTGGCTGTAGTGGCCATTTAGGGAGTGAACCAATGGATGGAAGATTTCTCTCTCTCTCTCCTTTTGTCTCAGTAATTCTGACTTGTAAGTAAAATCATATGTATAATTCTATTTCTTTTGGAAAGCAGAGAGAAAGAGAGAGGAAAGAGCAGAGAAAGATCTTCAATTCGTTGGTTCACTTTCCAAGTGGTCACAACATTTAGGGATGGGCAGACTGAAGCTAGGAGCTAGGAACTTGAAGCAGATATTCTGTTGGGCACAGGGCCCAAACACTTGGTCCACCATCTTCCATCTCCCAGGATGTGTATTAGAAGGAAGCTGGACCAGAATCAGAGCAGTGGAACCGACACACCAGTATGACATGTGTGTTCCAAGCAGTGGTTTGTGCTGCTGTGACACAACATCTATGTGCTTTGTTTTGAGAGGGGGTTCTAAAGTCATTGTTCCAGAATAATATTTTTATGGCATCTTTTTGAAAAGTACAGTTTCTACCTACTGATTCGTGATGACTCAGATGTCATTTGGCCAAGAAAATAGAGTTGAAACCTTCCAGAAATGGTCCTTTGTCAACTTTGCTATACAGATGAAGCTCAGCACATATTTGATGGCACTACGAGCATGACAGAGATAAGGAAAGACACGGCTCACAAGTTTCTGTTGTCTTCCTGTTTATTTTCGTCTGTCCGCTGATGCAATTTTCAGAAGGGTTTTGTTGATAATTGCCCTCTCTGATCCAGGCTCTCACTGGTCGGCCACATTTGTCTCCTTGAACTCTCTGTCCCCGGCGCCTTAGAGATCAGCACACATTAGAGATTCAGCTTTCTCAGGAAACCCACTCCTTCCACCCTTCCATCCTGTTGTAGCACGATTTGCAAACCGGGAAGAGCCACTTGGAGGCTGGTGCAGCGCTGTCCAGGAGTTCCATGTTCCATGTTTCTGACTGCTCTGTGTGTGTTCCTGATCGAGTTCTCTCCTCCTCATACAATAGGTCCTTTCCTGTGTTCCATTTATGTTTTAACCATGCTTGTGCATCGCAATCCAATGAGTGCTTTCAAAACAACCCTGAGATCTAAGATAAACTCCTAGAAGCTCTGATTCACTGCCCAAGCCTAGGACCCTGGCTTCAGTGCTGTGTTATAAGATCCCCCCAGATGATTTAGATGTGGAACCCAGGTTGGCAATCACTGATGGCAATGAGAAAGCCTCTCTTGGGGGCTTTTTAAAGGAAACATTTGAAGAGAGAGAGAGAGAGGAAAGAAAGAGAGAGAGAGCACACGCAGAAGAATGACTGGACTGTCTACTGCGAAGAAATACCATTTACTGGGTTTAAAAATCTCCCCTCTGTCAATTTTAATCCCAATACAGCAAATATGAGCAAAGATTTAGAGTAAAGCTTTAGGACAATAAGAATCTCTTGACTTCCAGAAACTGACCCATGGACCAGAGCAAATGCAGGTCCCTGTGAAAGGCTGCCTTACTCTCTCTAGGTGGTTCAACCGCAAGACCTAAGGAGGCACAGCACTGAGGGTTGGGGTGGAGGTGCGAGATAAAGGCAGCTTTTCCGAAGAAGACAGTTGGCCTGGGTCTGCAAGGCTGGATATAACTCATAGAGATGCACCATTGTCCACCTGCCACTTCAAGGATCATGCTTCTCCACTTGTTTCAAAGAAACCAAGAGGAAGCTGGGAAGTGCCTGTAGGTTGACATGTCCACTGGCTTCACGGTCACAGGTTTTTGATGCCATTAACCGTGAAAACACAAGCCCCCCGGGACAACTCGTGAGCAAACTCTTCCTGGGAAAAGACAGGCAGAAGGAGCTAACTCTTTACCAGGCCAAAGGCTTTCTGATGAAAAGGGATTGGTTGTTCAGCAGAAAAGTTGACAGATTACTTAACCCTAAATACAAGATCGTGTAACTTAGGCTTATTTCCCTAGTTACTAGCCTTTTACAATCAGGGACCAACTTAACAAAACCACAAAGGGCCAGGAGTCACAAAGTGAAGGAGAGATCCCCTTCTTTTCCCGCAATGGCAGTGCGGTCAACAGAAGGTTGGAGACGCATCACAAACCCCACCCCTTGCATCAAGCTGGCTCCTGATCCTACACTGGGGTGGGAGGTCCATCCTCTGCACACTGGGATTTTAAACAAACAATAATGTCTTCATTGTCTGTGAAGACGTGAAGAGAAGCGCTTTAGTGTGTCACTTTGCATGATCCTGCGTCTCAGCCTTAGCTTCTGCCCAGATCGGACTCCAGGCGTAGTCGCCTCCGGATGCCTGTGGGATGAAGTGCAGACAGACGTGCTAAGGACATCATTCCCCAGGATGCTTACAGGTTTCTAGGCCTCCATTCCAGGAGTAATCTCAGAGAAGCGCCTGGCTTTGTAATCCTAAAGACTCCAGAGTCCTAGTTAGGTTGCACCTCAACAGTCATGTTGGATTGTGTGTCCTGCCGTGTCATGATGATGGATCTGAGACTAGGACACATGGGGATGATTCAAGAACAAATTACGCATAGCAAGATCTCCGCTTGTCCAGAGAAGGCATTTTAGGGAGCTTGCACTTCATTGTCTTCATCATGAAGTTGATATCTAAGGTGTCATCATCTTCACGGTACCTACTGCACAGACCTTGTGTAACACTGCCTGAGTTTCCTCTCTGTACTGCACCGTGTGTTCATGAACCATATGTGGCAGGCACAATTAAACAGCTGAATTTTAAATATTTATTTCGATTATTGATGTAGGCACAAGTGGCCGGTGATAACCCTAAGGGGTGCAACAATTACACAGTCTCTTTAAAATTCTCATTCTGCTCAAGTTCCAAACAGGCATGCTCATGTCATTTCTTAGCACCTGTAATCATGGAGACCCAGGCTTTTTTTTTTCTTTCCCTGTTCTATTTCTCCAGTTCTCAGTCTTAGAATTATAGGCTGTTTCTGTCCTGGAAATCTGACAGTCACATGTTTATGAAACCTGCCTAAGACACCCTAATTATAATACTTTATCGGAGGGTGATTCTGCCAGGCTTGTTTATATCATCTGTGTTTTTAGTTTTGATCTTAAAAGGGCTGTAAAAAATAGTATTTTGTCAAAGGAGAAAAATTAGCTACAGATGGAGTGGTTGGGATTATAAACAATTCAAACTCCTTCTGCAAATATTGGGCTAAGGGAAGTTATAGCGGTAGATCCAAGTCATCAAGGAGAGAATTGGCTTGGGAGAACTGCCTTTAATTGGGCCTAGCTTTCTTCTAGTGGCCATCGAGTGGCTTTCCTGAAGGCATCAAGATTTTACCCCGTGAATAAATTCCCCCCATTGTCGGTCAGGTCTCTGCCATGGTCTGCAAGAAAGTCTTCAGGCTGGCTGGCTGCGATTTAAATCCACAGGAAAACCAAGGAAAAAAAAAATCCAATGTTTTCTCTAAAATATTAATTTCCTTGCTCCGGGCTTCTGTGGGCTTTGGCTGGAAACTTAATCTGTGCCCCTCGATGTTGCATTGTGTGTCAGTCACTGGAATGGGGCTTACTGAGAATTACTAGATGCCTTAGGAGTCCAAGGAGTCGCACTTGCTATAAAAAAAACAGCCTTTAATCTTAGGCTCGGGGACTTGCATTTTGGGAGGATGTGCCAGCTGATTTGAGCCCCCACAGGTCTCAGCTTGTTGTAGACCTTCGGTCCATA